AAAGCAATTTGTTTTAATCAGGCCGGCATAGACACACGTTCTTTCGCGCGGTTTATCGTGTCATCTGCAAAAACCTGTGAAAAATCATGTGCGTAAGTGAGGAGGGCTACTAGGGTTGCCACCTGTCCGGTTTTCACCCGGACTGTCCGGTTTTTTAAAGGTTTTTCCGGTGTCCGGACGCATGATGAAAATGTCCGGGAATATCTGGATAACTGTATAATTAATAATAATTAATACTTTATATAAAAATACCTATACTTATTGAATGACGGGTGTCACGAACGTCTCCGATTTCCAGTTAGCGACGGAAAAGTGGACTTTTTCTGCCTAGGCAGAAAAGTTCGTTACTAACCATTCAACAAACGTTATAACCGCAATTGATGAATATAAGAAAGTCGATTATGCGTGAAATTGTAACAAATTCGGAGAAAAAATGATATGCTTCACACGGCAAAAGATCAGATTTAATGCCTTGCACACACACAACAAATAATTATGTACAGGGTCATTTTTTATATTTTCCCACCCCCCTTAACATTTTTGTGCCACTGTGTATAGAAAAAAATTTAATAGGAAAGTTGTAGTGCTTGAAAAATAGTTCTCAGAAATCATAGTTTTGTTTATACAGGGTGTTGCAAAAAATTTAAAAAACAAAAAAAAATAAAAAATTTAAATGGGACCTCCTGTATATTATGACATTTCTGGATTCTGCGGAAAATTCCAGACATATTTCATATACAGGGTGTCCCACGAGGTTTTTCCCAAATGATAACTTCGAAACGCATCATCGTATGTTCCACTGTATAATTATTTTTATCATTTTCTTCTAAAAAGCCTTAACAAATATGGCATGGCCAATTTTGTAATTTAATTTTCTAACAAAAAATGCCAAAATATACCATGACTTACATTTAAGATTCGAAAGTCAGTTGACTGAAATTAAAGCGAAAGTGGTGAAATTGGATGACAATGGTAGAAGCGGCACAAAAAGTTACCCAGATCCTCAAAATTTAAATTATATTGGATGACGCGTTCCGAAGTTACCACCTAGAGAAAACGTCGTGGGACACCCTGTATAATGTTATATACCTATCTTCAACTGTTTCGGAAATAATGACAGTAGAAAATTGACTTTTTTGCATCTTTGACAGACTGTAAAACCTAAACGGTTGATTTTACAGCAAAACCGATCATACATGCTTGTCTTATTTTTTTATAAAATATCATTTGATACCAACTTTGAATTTAATCCATGATTGAAATTTCCAATTAAATTTAATCTCCCGGTTAAATTCAAAATTAGTGTCAAATTGCTAACTTATGAAAAGCTGCAGACATGAATGTAAAGTCGGTTCTGCTGTAAAATTAACAGTTACAGCCTCTCAAAGTTGCAAAAAAGTCAATTTTCTACTGTCATTATTTCCGAAACAGTTGAAGATAGGTATATGACATTATACATGAAATATGTCTAGAATTTTCCGCAGAATCCATAAATGTCATAATATACAGAGTGTCCGATTAAAAAAATTATATTTTTTTTGTTTTTTAAACTTTTTGCAACACCCTGTATGAACAATACTATGTTTTCTGGGAACTATTTCTCAAGTACTACAACTTTCCCATTTAAATTTGTGTCGTTCTCCCTGTTCACTTACAAGTGTTTCTATTTTTTTTTTTTCAATTTTAAAATATACAGTAATTGTAACTACAAGGGGTGGCGTCTAAAATTAGGTAGGTATACGTTTTTTAATTTTTGTCTAAAAATTCATTTTACAGATATGAGTGTAAATTATGCCGCAAAAAAAAGTTAGCTTCGATTATGTACGGGTTTTCGGAAATCAAAAGGTGGCAACCCTAAGGGCTACACGCAATGATAGAATGGGAAGGGATTTCAGACGTGCTTTCATCTGGAATGTGACGTCTCAGTACTCAAGTACATGATAGTGCAGTTCACAACCGTGTCCACACGCCATTTCACGTCACAGTTTTGAGGCTAGTAGTACGGAGACATAAACGCCGCGTAGCAAACTATCACGTTGAAAATTAGTACATGACAACATGCACTTCCAAACGACACCATAAATGACACTTTTTACCCATACACATACGGTTTTAGTGGTGGAGAACTATCGATGACACTATCGATAACTATCGATAGTATTGACTATCGAAATATATCGATATTTTTTTTCAACCATCGATAGTTTTCGATAGTTGGCTGTAACCTGTAACGCCCATTAATAAGCGAAAGTTAGGTTAGATGCACAAAACTGAACTGCAAAAACAAGAATCCTAAACTAGTTACGATTGCTCATCCTCATAAGACGTAAGTTTGCCAGTTCTTGAGTAAGCAAGGCCTGCGAGTGACGTCACAATTATCAGTACCTTAGAGCGGTGACGTCACCCGCAGGCCTCGATGGGATGCTTGCAATTCAGGCTGTGCTTTTGAGTTATTTTTTTTGTCGATTTTAATGTAGAAAAGCTGATTTTAAAAATGGAAATTTTTTATAAAAAGCAATCTAAAAAGACTTTCACTGTGGTGCGTGGTGCCATTATTTCTGACAAAAGTTTTTGAAGAACGTTGAAATAATCGATAATAATAATGATTTTTATACAAAAATTCTAGCTAGGCTTTCAGAAAGGATATTTTCATTTTCGGAAAAAAATATGTTCTCCGCAAATGATAAATGTTGATGTTTAAAGATCATGAAACTATTTCCTAGAATCATATTTTTAGTACGTCAAAAAGAAAATAAGGTTTTTGTCTATCTATCTATCCTTTGCTAACTAATGTAATTTACATTCATATGACGTACAGATATCTTTAATATTTCCTTATAACTTGTAACTAATTACTATCGAAAACTATCGATATTAATCGATAGTCAAGGTTCTGACTATCGATAAATATCGATGGTCGGGACTATCGATAGTTCTCCACCTCTATACGGTTTTTCCTTTCCAACTGATATGCCACGCGTAATCACGTGCTAAATCCTAAATCATTTGAATACTTTGTCAAGTGTATGGAATATGACGCTTTTTTTGCCACGCCGTTCTTTCGCGCGTGCAAACCGCTACATCCCAACACGCCACGATAAACCGCGCGAAATAACGTGTGTGTATGCCGGCCTATTTTAATCCTATGGAGTTTTATGCAATTTTGTTTTGACAAAACATGGCGGGTGGGCCCTATCAAGGTTCCTATAGTCGCCACTGTCTTGTATAAAGTCACTGTAGCTTTTATAGTCACTGTAGCTTTTATGCGGATAGTGCGCCATCTATCAATAATTATACCAGCTACTCTATAATAATATTATAGGGTAGTGTTGTGCTTGATATAATTGATAGATAATAGATGGCGAAATCGAAATTGTAAATTATACGCATGCGATTTCTTTCCCGGGTGAGGTGGTGTTTTGGGGCCCCCCTCATTTCGGGGCCCGGGGCTTTAGCCCCCAAAGCCCCCCCCTTAATCCGGCCCTGTACTGCACCCAAAAGACCCCTGGTTAAACCGGCCCTGATACCAAAAATCTTTGCCATCGAAAAAAAAACCAGCAAATGCCAGCGCGAAACTGATCACGTAGACACCCGGTATATCGGATTTTTTTCCTATGTATTGGATTTTTTTATCTATATTTCAAATTTTTTTCCCATATGTGGGAAAAAATAATAATTTAATAATAGTGTCATTGACACCAGGACGCATTCGTAATACACTGACACTAATTACTTTAATAACTAACTCAACCACTAAACTCTTTGCAACTCTCAACAATAATCACTAACTAAATTCTATAACAGCCAGGATATTCGATAGTCTGGTGAATGCCTAGTATTCTTGACACATTGGCGGACGCCCGTCACAATACTTTAACCCTAAGATATGTCAAAAATGGCTCACTCAACATTGCTCAAATGTGATCAAGATCAATAATATAATTATTTGGAATCAGGGCTGGGATCACTATAAGTAGAATTCCACTAGAACTCTACTTTCATGACGTCAGGTTGCCTAGCAACAGTGATTATCGCCTGTAGTATACGCGATAAGTAGGTCGTGGGTGACGTCATGAAAATAGAATTCTACTTGTCATTATTTTAGCCCAGGAAGAAAAGATCTTTTCTTTTATCGCAAAATATACAGGGTGTTCCATTTAAAAAAATCGAAGTTGTTTACGTTTCTTCATTTTTCGATGCGATTTTGTTTTTTCTGACAACGTTAAAAAATATATAGAAAAAAACTGTCAAATTTTGTATTTGAAGTTTTTTCCTATCTTATGGCGTTTCCGATTGGTAGAGAACTAGTGCAATTTTTTCTATTTCTGTTTTTTCTTTACTTTATTATTACTGATTGGAGTTTTCCAACCGTTCAAATTACCCCAATTGATCGGAGTACTCTAACTGAAAGGAGTAGTCCAATTGTTCTGAGTACCTTACTGATCGGAGTACTCTAGCTGCTCGGAGTATTGCAGCTGTTCGGAGTGAACTAACTTATCAGATTACTCAAAGTGCTCGGAGTATTTTAACTCTGTTCGAAGTACCGCAGCTGTTCGGAGTACATTTCCAAACTTACCGATGATAACCAGGATAGTCTGCAATTTTAATCAGACAGTACCCAACTTACCGATAATAACCTGGTTAGGTAGTTCGGCCACTATTTTCCAGCATTTATTCAATGCCCTAGCAAAGTTATATTTAGTTCATCATTTTGTTATTTCTGTTTGCGTTTGGGCATTTGCCCGTAATATAATTATATTATATATTAGGCATTTTAAATTTTTATTATAGATAAAAGATAAAACCGATAAAATGTCGATAGTTTACATCTCTAGTTGGAAAAGAGAAGCAGTGCATAATTGTATCGTATGATATGCATTCGCAAAATCGTACGTAATAATCGCAGAACCCAGCACTCGGCTTTTTGCAAGAGTCTGTGGGCATGGCTGTTGCAAAAGTGTGGTGGGGTGCGCGGTGAGAAAGATAAGGAGGTAGAGAAACAGCAGACAGACAGCAGGCGCAGGCCGCAGGCAGCTTGCCGTCTTCTTTTATCTCGTCCTCCATTGGAAACCAGCTGATTTGGGTTGACAATAATAAAATGTTCCGGTTTTTGGCTTATTTTTTGGCCGCAAAAGTGTGTAAAATTTGTAAAGTGTGCGTGGGAAACCAATGAAACCGTTCTGCGGCGAGCAGAGATGATGGAACAGGAAAAATGGTCGGCCGATTACCAACAATCTGTGTCGACTTCGACAGGGACAGGTATAGAGGAAGGAACCAGTAGCAGCACCAACAAAAGCCAACACACAAAAATTATTCCGAGGACGGATAATAGCGAAGTTCTAAATTCTCAAATTAAAGAAGATCCAGATGCAAAATCCATTTTTCCGCTGCCGCAAATCAAGAACGAATATTACCCAAGCACTGCCGTAATTAGGTTCGTAATATTTGACTTTGGTTTCTGGTGCTTGTTTTAATTGCCAATATTAACAGATACTTTTTTATTAGCCTACTAAAATATCTACACTCTTTGGAAATTTTTAATACATATTTGAATTTCAAAATTGATTTTTAAATACTTAACTGGGTCTTCTTATAATACAACAGTCAAGACACAAATTATTGCTTTATGAGGATGCAGAATATTCTTTACAAATTTATCTGGTTCCTACCAAGTAAGCCATCAAGCTACACTGTAATTAGGCCAGGATTACCCAATTCCACAATATTTAATTTTTTGAAAAGTTGCATATAATTAAAATTGGTATTTTTGAAGATAAGATTTAAAAACAAAAATTTAGAAATAAGGAAATGTATTTTGCCAGATGGGCTTATCTTTACTAACCTACTCTCAACATTAACATTTATCATACATTGAAACAGATGTTCAGGTACATACCTAGAATATTGAGCTAGCAATACCTACATTTCCTAGTTCCCTTTTTTGTTTATAGTTTTACATGCACATTCTACCTACTTACCTATACTAAAAATAGTCTGATGTTCTAACATATTTTACAATTTACATACCTAATTATGTTGAGTTTTCTACATACCTACTTGCTTAACTAATTATAAGTTCTTTCTGAAAAACTATGGGCAATTTAAAACCGAGGGGTAAACCGCTAAGAAAAATGTGTACACTAATTCTCAGGATGGTAACTAATTCCTCTAATTCTCTAATTCCCTTCTAATTCCCCTAATTTTACTAATTCCCAACTAATTCACCAAATTTATCACACAAATTTGTTCACAAAATGGTGTAGAATAAATCAAGAATATCTAGATGTTTGCACTATTACATGTTAAAATAACGAAGTCTGTAAAAAAGCTGGGGAAAAAAAAATACATAGGTAGCTTCTGTTAAGTCGGTGGTTTAGTCCTTTTCATAGTCAAGGTCGGAATTTTTGGAAGGTGATTTCTCCAATGTTTTCCGACGTGTTTTCGCTGTACTGTCTATAAATATTTTTAATCGGTCAGTACTTACTTACTTAGACTGATCTAAAAGCCAGCAGCACAATGACTTTTTAATGATTGAAGAATTTTTAACAACAACATTGAAGTTCATACAACTTGTTTCCAAAGTATCACATTCGCGATCTTCATAAGAAATTTCCAAGAATTTTATTTTTTTTTGAAATTAAGTCCATGACTATATCGCCCTCATTACTAACATCATTTGTGTTTGCCACATCTTGGTCATTTTTATTTTCTTCAAGGTTTTTGTCAACTTCAACGTCGCCTTCCTCGATCTCTATGTTTTCCTGTGGATATCCGATATTTTGTGTTTGGTTTATTGAAGGTATAGTATTTTCAAAGTCAATCTTATGGAAATATTCAGTCACCAGTTGTGATTCACCTTTACCTTGTTTCAACTGATTCTGAAAAGACTATACCTGCATATATCTCCAATCGCTTTCTTTAGCATTGAGTCCGAATTGTCTCATATCCTCTATGACAGTGGTTCCCAACCTTTTTTTAGTCACGACCCTTTTACAGATTTGCTCAGAAGGTCGCGACCCCCCTACCCATTAATAAAATAATAGATAAAAAACAAAATTTCATTTATTCGAGAAATCGTTAGTAAAAATATTAATATTCCGTAACTAAATACAGAAAGTCAATTTTTATTTTGTTAATGTGATGACTGAGCTTGCATCTCCGTTTTGAAATTCTTGGTTGAGTTGTTGTTAAAGCCAATCTTATGTCGTCTTGAACGCGTAGCCCAGTCTACCTATTTCTGGCGTTTGTTCTAATTTGCAAAAGAGTTGAAAAACAACTTTCACGAAGGTAGGTAGAGGCAAATGGTACTAGTATCCGAAAAGAAAGCACAAGCAGGGCGACATAAGGACATGAACTATGCATGGCACATCAAAATTCAGTCAAGAATTTTTCCTGGAATAGGGCTGTGGAATCATTCCTCAGCTCTAAAAATTTATCCTGCACTTCATCAGGAACGTCGGCAACATCTAACGATGCTTGAAACGGTTTCCTTACTTACTGAATGCCTTTTGTTCAGATAACGCCCATTTCATTTCTTTAAGATTCTACACAATTTCTGTTTCTGATGCTTCAGCCATTATACATAGCTACCTATGGTCAAAAACATGTGACTCACAACACAACACTCACAACCTGTGCTATTCGCTTCGTCCGTAAGACCCATGCAACGCTGCGCGGCTTTTGAGGCGGAGGCTAAAGGCCGGGACACATCTATCATGCATTCTTCCGATCATACAATCAAGGTTCTTATTCTTGGAAAAGGGGAGCAGCGGAACACTCGTTCTCCTGGGAACGCTGCTTCCTGTTCCATGAATGAGGACCCTGATTGTATGATCGGAGTCGGATCGGAAGAATGCATGATAGATGTGTCCCGGGCTTAAGGCGTGATGCCAAATGCAGAAAAATACATATTGGCATTGCGACCCCTTCAAAAACCCTATGCGACCCCTTTAGGGGTCGCGACCCACCGGTTGGGAACCGCTGCTCTATGACATTTTGTAAAGTTTCTTGTTTCTTCAACTGTAAGTAGCTTTGATATCAAACTTGAGAAATTCTTCTTTACAATAATGTGGTTTTGTCGATCCGAGTAGGTTTTCAATGTAGAATTTTCAATTGTTTGGGTAGGAAAACCAGACTTCTGCGTTTTTTTTTTCCGATCCTACCCAAACAATTGAAAATTCTTCTTTACATAGTAGTTTTTGTTCTGGCATTTTTATTACATCAGGTTTTAGGAAACAACTAGGTGCGCATATTTGTCCAAATATGTGTGGTGTCTTGTACATCGTTCTTCATTTTTTTGCACTGCTACAGTGGTACCACTCCTACTCTGGAACTAACAAAGAATGGAGTAGTTCTGTATCTTCTGGGATTGTTTTGTTTTTTTTATTTTTATTCAGGAGCTAAACGAGACATCAAATCAATATTTAAATGCATATCTCTTAGAAGGCGATTTTCCGTCTGAGGAAAATCCTGGGGAAAATCCCATAATTGTGATGCCAAATTTCTTAGCTTTGTCCTTCATCCATTCTCATCTCAAAGTGACAGTGATCTGCTCAGTAGTCAATGAATTATCAGTCATATCAGGAATAAGGACAGAGAGTATGTCAATTTACCCAGCATGCAATGGTTGAGCAAGTATTAGATGGGCATATACTGCTTGTACTCCAGTTTGAATAGATATCGTGATTGCTTCAGCGGAAGTGGCAGGAAACATACCTTGTTAACTCAGTCCTTCCAGGAATCTATTCAGCATAGTTAGAACTAGTACAATTAAATCAAGTTAAATCAGGCACAGATTCATCAGTGTTTTAGACAGTTTCTATTTCACTTATGTTCTCCAAAAGTTCCTCAGCTAGTTCATTATTTTTAAATACTTACTAGAAGATTCTCTTAACGGAATTTGGAATTTTACATACGAAATAAATTGGTTTCTTGATTGGTTTGGAAGCAAAAGTGTGCAACATAAAATTGGCATCACAACTAATAGAATCTATTACCATATTTTCGATCGGAATACCGTACCTTTATACAGTTCTATATTTTTACAGAGACAGGGTTTATTCTTGGACGAGCAGATTTATATTTCACTGGCTGAAAAGAAATAATTTTTTTTCTATTTCTATCATAAATGCATCAGTTCATCGTAAACAAAACGCAATAAATGCATGTACTTTCAAAAAAAATTATTATAAAATAAATAATATAAAACAGATTGATGAAATCCATCTATGTAATAATAATGTAATAATGTAATTATCCAATAGCAAGCGGTGTACCGATGAAGCTATTGTCTCTTTAAAATTTGTTATTGTTTACATTTTCCTTTAATTATGCGCCATAATGGATCATTCTTGCTGCACTCTGTCTTAATTCTTTGTCTAAACGATTTTTAAATATATTAACGTTTGCTGCAGTAACCGTTTCCTCTGTGAGTGCATTCCATGAATACACCACACGATTGGTCAGAAAATTCTTCCTTTGGAGTTTAGCAGCCCTTTCCTTGTCTATTTTCATAGAATGTCCTCGAAGCTGTGGATTCTGGTTGAGACGAAAGATGTTCCTGATTTCGCACTGATAGTGTCCACTAATTATTTTATACGTTTCGATAAGGTCTCCTCTATGTCTTCGCTCCCTTAGCGTTGTTAATTGAAGTCTTTCCAGTCTTTCTGGGTATGGTAAATTTTTCAGTTCATTGGGTATCTTCGTGACTCTTCTTTGTATTTTTTCCAGGATCTCAATATCTTTTACGTAATATGGGTTCCATACTGTGTAAGCGTACTCAAGTTTTGGCCTAATATAGCTTTTATATAGTATTGAAATCATTTCCATTGTGTGGTCTTTGAATGCCTGTTTTACAAGGTAGACGAACGAGTTGGTCTTTTTGGCTATTTTCAGAATGTGGTTTTCCCATTTTAAATTTGCAGTCACGATAACACCCAGGTCATTTTGCTCATCCACTACCGACAAAACTGTGTTATTCAATGTGTATTGTTCGTTTGGGTTGTTTGGACCAATTCTTAATACTGTGCATTTAGATTCGTTTAGTTTCATCCCCCAGGTACTGGACCATTCCTCGATTCTTTGAAGATCTCTCTTGAGCTGAATTGCGTTAAGACAGGGGTTTGCATATATTTTACCATCATCAGCAAAATTTTTCATTTTCGTCTCAATCAGGTCGACAAGATCGAAGAGATATGCCGTAAAAAGCAAAGGCCCTATTACTGATCCCTGAATAACTCCGCTGCTGACTGGATGTTGCTTAGACATTTCGCCATTCACTCTCACTTGATAATGTCTTTTGTATAGGGAGTCTGCTATCAATGACAGTATTTGTCCTCGCACATCATAGTGTTCAAGCTTGATAAGCAAATAATTCTGAGGAACTTTATCGAATGCTTTTTCATAATCCAAATAGATAATGTCAGTTGGTTGGGA